TTACATGTCATCAAAATTTTCCATTGCAGACATTTTTCTCTAAAGCTGGTATTGAAAACCATTGGCAACCAGAACAATGAAACACAATTAAAAGAAAAAAAAATAAAAAACACGCACACAAAAAAAGAACACCCTCCCCAAAAATATCAGCAATTGGAAGCAAAAAATCAGTTTCACTACTGATTTTCTATAGCCATAAAAAAAAAAAAAAGGCTACATACACTAGTTATGTGGTTTGATATGCTATTGTAAAGTACTACGGTGAGTACTTTCTCACTAGTTCTTTATTCCATAAAACCATGGAGTAATTAATACTAGGGAGTCTCTGCTGTGAATATCTTCACTTTGCCCTCTGAGGGACCTCAGCTCTAATCTGACAAACCTCACTCCCGGAAGGTCCAGAGACAATTCAATCTGCAAACTGTTAAAATATGATCTATTTCTCTCTCCCCCCCCCCCCCCCCCCACCGTCCCCAACCCAAGCAAAGATATTCATGGTATAAATTAGTGCCAAACTCTGTAGATAGATTCATGAAATAGATGAAAACCTGCCAAATTCACCAATCCTGAAGAGTTTGAACTGTGTTTCAAACATGAAGAATGTAAACTAACAAAAACTGGTGACACTGAAAAAAATAAAATAGAAGATGATCCAAAATGTCCTACAAATATTCTGCCCATGACAGAAAAAAAAAAAAAAGAACACATGGATATTTGCTACTTATGTTTAAAACATGATCAAAAAAGATCAAACTTGGCCCTTCATTTGCAACAAGGTAACTAAATACGTGGTTATGGATATTGGTTTCACAGATAAGAACAGAAGTCACTACAGATTATACAGATTACATTTGAAATAAAGTATTTGAATACTGAATTCGCATTATTCATTTGTGGAAAACTATGAGGCAAGTAAATTTTCATACAATCTGTTTTTTTTTTTTTTCATTAGCTCAAAGCAAAGATAAAGGTTGGGGCCTATGATAACAAAACCAACCAAAACTGGGGCCTTTGTTCAGCTTAGCCATAAAGCACCTCAGTCTGGTTTCAGCAAGAATTGCATCTAGAAGAGACCACAGAGAGGTGTGCTTATGCCCCAGCCTGTTGGTGAGGAAAAAAAAAAAAAAAAGAGAGAGAGAGAGAGAGAGAGATTACTAAATACTTAGATTTACTGATTTACTTTCTAAATCTATGTCTGTGGAAGGCATCAATTTTCAGAAATTCATGAATTTGTGCCTGTTATGATACACACTCCTTTAGAGCATCAGACTGAATCCCTTGGAATCATTAGCTGAGCCTTGATATATATGCTTGCATCTTGTTTACAAATTTTATGTCTTAAAACTTTTTTAAAGTACCTTAACTGTATTACAATTTACTTTAAAAGAAACAGAAGAGAGAGACTAAGAGGCAAAACATACAAAAAAGAATGATATAAATATATGCAGATGGAAACTGAGCAATTGCAAAGGCTGAATTACCTGTCATTTAATTAGTCTTGGGAGTATGGAGATCTTATTGTTTCTATCCATCAGACAAAGACGATTTATGAAGACTTAAAAGTTTCCTCAGGAAATGATACTCTTTCTCATCATTCCACTTGGGGAGAAAGCTTCTAAGTTGCAAACATGAAGTAGTTTTTCCTGCTTTGCCACTGCTCTGAGTTTTCCCAAGCAGTAGCAGAGGACACAAGTTTTTAACTGGCTTCCATGGGGTTTTTGAAGCCTTTCAGAAAGCACTGAACCGACAATAATTGCAGCTGGTTCACCTTTGCTGCTCTTGCTATTAAAAAGTCTAAACAACAAGATATTAGTGTTACTGATGTAAGCTATTAATAGAAAAGGAGATACACGAAAATAAGGAGGTGTAAAGGTCAAAAAGCAACAACAGAAGATTCATTCAATGCAACCAGGATGGCTGACACAGGACAAAAAATAGCAGAGCCCCTATGCCCAGGGTTCTCTTCAGAAGGATAGAGGACAAGAGAGACCAAATTAGTATCTTTAAAAAGTGAAAAGATATTTTAAAATAGTTAACTCCGTATACAGAAAGCAATGTCTTGTTACCAACATCAGCAAAATTAGCTCTTACTTGCTTTTAATTCTTCTCATTGGCTCCAAATGCAGAGGAAAATGAGCTGTCAAAGGTTGTTTTCCATAGTACAAATGAGAGCACAAATAGGAAGGTATATGTATGTTAATAAGCAGGGGAGCAATGATCAGTATGCCCTTGAGAGCAGAAACATTCCTTAAGCTTTCTGGTAATCTGATGGTACAGTATGTTGCCTCAGATATGAACATTTAAAATGCATTTATGAAAACAATTTTGCTTGTGCAGGAGATCCCTTAAGTTGATATAGCTCTACTCCTGAACCAGTCTTTCAACCAACCACCCTTTTTTGTCTATTTGTGGACAACTACATCATCTATAAATATGATATGCAACAACTTTGCTAATGAACTGCAGTATCCCTCAATACAACAATGAATTGTACAGTGTACAGAGGCTCAATGTACAGAGCTACAAAGACCAGTCAGATCACCACACCCTAGCTCTGCAGAGATGGAAGAAAATCTTTTCATAAAAAATGGAGGAAACCTTTCTCAAAAGTCTCAAACTTTTTCTCTCTCTTGAAACAGTATTTTCTCCTTCCAATTATCATTTTAAAACTGAGATCCAGGTATTAGATCTTCATGTTAGAAGAGCATTTCCCCCCTCCCCTTTTTTTTTTATTATATACTTATCACTGAAGAAATGCTCCACCCACTCCCCCCAAATCCCCATCAAATCAGGCCAGATGACTTCATCATCCTTTGTTTTTGATTTTCATCTGTATTAATGTGGCTGCTAATTCCAGGGTGATTCTTGACAGAATTTGCTCCTGTAAGTGGTCTTTACCTGAAAAATAGTGACAACTGCTCCAACCACAGGCCTACCTAGGAGAGGTAAATCTCCTTGACTTAAAACTCGTGACCTGTTCCCACCTGATGGTATATGTATAACATGTGAAGGAATTTGACAAGTGATGTTAATATAAGTGCAAAGAGGTCATTTTTTTCCATTCCTAACTACTTTTTTTTCTCATGTAAAGTATTATTTCTGCTTTGAACCTATCTAAATGCCATTACACAGGCCAAATGTGACTGAGAGATTTGTGTTGCAGCCAGAATGTCCTTTTCATGTTCAGGAAACATTTCCAAGTTTGTTTTCAGTTTATGAAAATACATTTGTGTTAGAGGTTTGCTTAAGCTACTCCAGAATGCATATTTTCTCATGTATATGATACTGTAGTTCACAACCAATTTAAAAAAAAAATACAGTAATGCTGCAATTCCACATCAGCTTACCTGCTCATCCATCTGCTTATATATTCCTATGGTCATTTCTGTTTATGTTTTTACTATGAGTTTTGTATGCATTTTTGTCACCATGAGTTAGCAAATATGTTTTCCTTCACAGACTTTCATAACAATAAAATTTTAACATCTTAGCACATTCCAGAGTCGTCATAATCTCCTGGTTGCTGATGGTGTTTAAAAAAAAACACAATCTTTTATCCATACAAGGCACAATTTAAACCATTTTCATTTCCTTTTCAACAAAATATGAAAAGTACGCCTCTAAAACTTAAATGATTCTGAAGAACTTCAGTGATTAATTTTACATTTCTAAATTTCTGGAAAAGGTTACATTCCTACCATTTCACTCAAAATTCAATACTTCTATTCCAGATTCTTTTTTTAGGCAGTGTGCATGAATAAATCACATCTGATAAGATACATCCAGCTACAAAGAATCAGATAACTTATTTGGGGAAAGCATATACAAATAAAATGCTTTCCAGAATACAAAAAGATTAAGGGTTGGTTACCATTGATGGAAAGACCACAGGCATTTTGAGTTTATGATCTGCTAACACATCGTCCTTTTTCTATGTACTGTTCTACTGATTTTGGTCCCTGAAACCTACTGTTTTTTTCTTCTGTAGTTCTCTTTAGTACCTGTCTGCAGGAGAAGAATTGGCGACAACGCTGGTTGCTATTGATACCGACTAACACTTTCTCAGCTAAACTATTCACTAAGAGGTAGAGGGATGGAGTAATGTGAATTATTTCCTTCCCTCTCTAAGGTTAACTGCTTAACAAAGGTGCCTTCTGCACCTGTTCTGCCAGCACATGAGCACTTGGTCTAATGAAAATAAGAAATGGGGCATATTTCATTGACAGGTCTTTAGCCATGTGTCACTGCAACCAAGTCCACAGGAATTCCATACATCATGTACCAGACCTGCTGACAGTGATCCAGGTACATATTACAGGAGGAGCCATTTCTTTAGTTTACTAACTTTAAACACAGTGACTTTTAAAGTGCCTCAATACAATTGCACACTGACTAACCGTCTTGCAAAGCAGATATATTTGTAGGCAGTTTCTTTGTTATTGGACCTCAGCGCCCACTTTTTAAACTCAGTCTAGTTTCATTTGGTAGCTGACCTTATAAGTGATGCCACATGTCCCCTCTATATGCAAGCATAAACACATAATCGTTTTAGTTCTGCAACAACACAATGATAAAACATTAACATACGCTGGCAAAGTCTGAAAGACAAAAAAAATAATAAAAAAAATACACATCTGCAGAAGAGTGCAGACATAACAACTTCACCCCCGCACACACACCTGTACGGCAAACTGTTCACCAGCTCCGCATCGCCCCTGCCAGGGCCGCGTCCCTGCTTTACATAACGCCAGCCGAACACCAGCTCGCCACGGGAAGCCGGGTACCAAGTTGAGCCGAGGCTCGGCGAAACTGACCGAGTTTACCAACTCCGCCGCGCGTCCACCGCAGCCGCCCTGGCGCGGCTCCCGCAGAACTACCTGTAACGCCGCCCCCGCCTCCCGCAAACCGCGGGGGGCTGCGGGGGCTCCCCGAAACACCCCCTCCTCCCCCTCTATTTCCCCCCACACCCCACCCCACCGCCGGCCGCCGCCGCCACTCACCAGCTGCGCGCCGCACACCGCCACCAGCGTGCAGCGGCCGCTGCAATAGCCCATGGCTCCCGGCACCCCGCGCCGCCGTCCCGCGCCGCTCCGCGCCCGCTCAGGCGGCGGGAGAGCACCGCCCGGCCGCCGCCCGGCTCCCGCCTGCCGCCGGCGCGCCCCGGCCCGGGACCCGCATGGGGGCGCGCCCGCCGCCGCCGCTGCCCGCCCGCCCCTAGCCGCGGCCGCAGCAGCCCCCGCCGCCTCGGCGGCCGCCGGCAGCGGGGCCGGCCGCCCCCGCGGAGGGCGGCGGCGCCGTGGGGAGGGCGGCGGCAGGTGCCTGCGGGAGCAGCCGCGCTCTGCCGCGCAGCCCCAGAGGCATCTGGGCTGCGAAGTTTGCCCCCCTTCAACTCCGCTCGCGAAGCCGCCGGGCTCGCAGCCGGCTGCGGCGGGAGGGGGGCGGGAGGGGGGGAGGAGGGATGGAGGGAGGGAGGGAGGGATGGATGGAGGGAGGGAGGGAGGGACGGGGAGGCGAGGCGAGGCAAGGCAGGCGGCGGCGCTGAGCTCAGTTCACGCTCGGAGAGCGGCTTCCCTCCTGCCCGCGGCGGAGGCGCTCCCCCACCCACCACCCACCCTCCATCTCCTCCTCCCCAGCCCTCCCGGTGGCAGCCCAGCAGCGGACACCCCTCGCCTTGGGGGTCCCCCGCGGGAGGTGCGGCTCTGCCGCTTTGTCTGTTCCAGCGCGGTGGAGGCGCCTTCACAACCCCCTACCCACCCACAGCCCCCCGACCCCTTTGTCTCGGCAGGACGCCCCTCCGCGCCCACCCTCCCGGAGCTCCCCCGCAGGCGGGGAGCGGGGCACAGCGTGGGGCTCAGTGCGGAGCCCGCAGCCCCCGCCCGTGGGTGCGGAGCGGAGCCGGCGCGGCCACAGCCCGGTGGCGGCGGCGCGGGCGCGCTGCTGCCGCCTGCCGGGCTCGGAGGGAGGTGCAGGGGGAAGCCGCCGGCCCAGCCTCCGCGGCAGCCGCCGCCGGCACCGGGGAGAGCTCCCGGAGAGCTCCGGGGAGGAGGTGGTCGCCCTGCCAGCCAAAGCTGAGCGCGGAGGAGGGGGAAGGTCTGGAGGGGCTGATATGGGGGGCTCGAGGGATCCGGAGAAGAAGCCTGGAGGTGCAGGGTAAGAGCAAGAAAAGAAGGACAAGACGGGCAGATTTTGAGAAAAATAAAATATTGACTGGTTTCAGGAAACTGGTTCAGCTCATCATGATGACAAAGAATGTTTGCAACTACTTATATGGTTCAGCCTTCCTGTGCTATCAAAACCGCACAGAGCACATACAGTTGGTGGGGTATGTTATGTCAAATTCTGAAGTGTCAATCAGCCTCCAAAGCCCTTTACTTGCTGTGTCATCAGCAGCAGCCTTGACATTGCATTCGGACCAGGTCACTTTTTTGCTGAGCTGCCCATTAGCTGGTGCAGTTTTAGCAGTGACATCAACAAATACGAACCGGAGGAACATCGTGAGCCTTTTTGATCAAATGTGGGTGTTCATTTGCAGCACAAATATGTGAAACTGGAAGCTCTCTGGAAACATAGAGCCCCAGGTAGTTTGCCTCTCACTTTCCAAGCACTCTTGTCAAAATAACTGGCAGCCTGTCAAATATGCAGTTATGACTCCTAAAATGCCATACAACATAATGAACCCTCCAAGGGGGAGCAAAACGCACATAAAGGTGACACTGGTCGTCCTCTATTCCATAACAACATCCTTGTGATTGTCAGCTTCTGTGCTACCAGAAACTATTGACCTGCCAAATTGCTGGTCATGCAGAGTTCCCAGCACGGTAAATGTGCTCACTTTGGGACCTCAGGAGGCAGCAGCTAGGGAAACAGAACAAAAGGAACTGTGGAGATGCTGAGGTTCAGAAACAGCAAAGATATCCAGAGAGTGGCAGAAAATTGCTCAGGTGCCTACAGATTCAGATAGTCTTTCCTGACTTCTTCAGCATTCCCTTCATGTGGGGTTTTGTGGGTTTGTTTTAATTACAGAAATGGTATTTGTGTACAGATGTTAGCTGGTATTATGGCTGTTTGAACTTTACATTTGAACTAGACAAGATGTAGCAGCAGCATCTGCAGTTGCTGTGTAATTACCTCTGTCTCATCACCAGTATGCTATCTTTTGTGTAGTGGTCCCCTTTAATATAGCAAATCCTACCCCACCGAGAAGCCAGGGTGGCAAAATAAATAACTAAATACAATGGGAAACACTATTATCTAGGGCAGGTGTCTCATGTTAGAGCTTGCAAAGTGACAAGAACAATGTATCTGATTGTCTAAGACTGGGCACTGGGAAGTTAACAGAAGGGGAAGTTCTACTTACCTGGATCCCTGAGAAGAAGCTAAAGCTGGTGTTGTATGTGTGTCTATAACTGATCTGGTAGTTTATTACTGTGGGAGGCTTCCTAAGGAAAATGTGAGTGGTACTGATGGAGTCCAAAAGGATGATCTCTATGGACTCCTATAGCTCCTCAGAACTCCCTGATCCTTGTCTCTTTCTCAGCACCTTCTGCTATAGCTTTGCTTCTTAGTAAGAATCTCTATTTTTTATCTTTTCCTGAGCTTCAAAGTAATTGTGTCTCCTTGTACTTCTGTCCTCCAGTTCCCTCTGGTCTATGGCTTACCTTTCCCACACAAGCTGCCTTTTCCCGTATCACTTTAATCTGTCTTCTTCTTAATCTTGCGTCTCCCTCCTCTGGGCTTCTCAGTGTCCCAGTTTTCACTGGGAGTTGGGGAGGGTTTTTCATTCTGTCCCACCCTCATGGATATGGACTGCATTTGTTTTGCCTCTGCTTTGGATCAGAGCTACTTGGTAAGGACCCTCCAAAGAACAGAATAAGGACGTAGCAGAGGCAGATGAAGTGTGAACAAAACTGTGTGAGGGCTTTCAGCTATAAGCAATTGTTGAGGTGCCAGAGAGGAGTCTTCCTCTCTCTAACCTCATCACCAGTAGGTTTGCCACAGCTGCGCTTGCTGTGGGCTTGCCTTTGCTTGCTCTGTGAAATTAGAGAAGCTACAAATTATATATTGGGGAAACAACAACAACAACAAAATGCATATGGTAAGATGTTGTAGAGTATGGGATGAGTAAAGCACTACCCCTGAATGTGTAGCAGACTGCTCCTGGTGCACTTTTGGTGAGCCATGGGAAAAACGGATTCAGCTTTAGGTCAAGTGCCCAGGGCCCTTCCCAGGCCAGTCTAAGCCTGTTCTTGAGGCCCTGCAGCTCCAGCACACAGCAAGATCAGCTGTGCACATACAGTAATATTATTTTGTAGGTTCCCAGTTAGACTTAACAAAAGCCCTGTTGTGTGTGTGCTCAGTGAGTAATTCCAAATGTTCATAACTTTGTCAATACAAGACCAGTTTTCTGAGAAGTCAGGCCGTGCTGTGCTCTTCACTGAAGGTTATTCCATGCAAAATATTAACTTGAAAACTGTAGTGGTTTCACCAGTGGCTTTTTACTTTAAAGAGTCCACAAGGGAAAAAAAAAAAAAAAAAAAAAAAAAAAAGTTGTTGTTTTGTTTGGTTTCCCTTCACTCATAATCAAGTATCATTTTATTCTTATTTCTACAACTTCTCTCTGGGAATATATAATTTCCAAAATCTGTGACCATCACTAATGACTGGAAACATAAGGATTCCAATGTATTTTATGGTCCCAATTATAGGAGCTTATTTATAGTGTCTGTATATGCACAGCACTGCCTTTTTGGGGTGAGTGGGGAACATACCTTACAGTGGCAGAGTGGCAGACAGTCCATGCCTCCCACAGTGCCTCCCAGTGACAGGACAGGCCTTACTGTAAGTCTGTAGGCTGTAAGTCCATCCCTAGCCTGTTCTTTCCCTGAGCCTGGGGGAACACCTGGGAGACCGAGGAGCCCAGCTGCAAGAGCTACATCAAGACCACAGCCACCAGGGAGAGCTAAGATTTCCCAGAACAAGCCACAGACCACATGAGCTGGCCTGTAGGGCCTCAAGTGACTCATGAGGGCTTTATCTCTTTCCTGTAACAAAAATTGGATGTGAACATTGGTGACACCAGCACAGCACAGGTTTGGTGATGTTTCATGCTCAGCATTCTCCCTGTATGGCGGTGTGTCCTTCCCCACCACCAGCATCCCAGTGGCATAGCCTGTCACCAGGGCTGCTGGGCAATCAGCAGAGACTCCTGTCTGCTCTAGCCACCCTAATAAAAAAACAGTCCTAGACTGCTTGGCAATTGGTAATGTTGTCATCAATAGTAAAGGGAAAATACTGTTTCAGTTTAACTAACATCTTGTTAATGGAGCAGACCTTGCTGCGTGACGTGCATACACATTATCTGGGGGGGGGGAAGTCAACTGGGGGGGAGGAATACATGATTAAAACATAATGCAAAATTATTGTAGGCTTAAGAACACTGCAATAAGTATTCTATTCAGACCTGTAAGACTATAGCAGTATTAAATTATTTTTTGAACCTCATCCTTACCATGAAGATTGAGTGTCAGGTACTTTTTTTTTTTCCTCCTGCAGGATTTCAAGACTTGATTGCCCAAATGACAGTTTACTTATTTTACTGTCACATACTTTTGTGAAATGCCATAACAAGTTGATTACAGGTTTCACATTTTGCATAGTGACAAAATCGTCTGTCATATAATAGTCTGATGCCTGAAAGCCATTTAACTAAGAAGCAGTTTCTAGTGAAAATAATGCTATTTGAAACATTAAGATTGGGTTTAAATGTGTACATTTTTTTAAGCAAGGCTTTGTTTTAACTGAATGAGAAAACCAGTATTATCCCTTTCAGGCATGAGTTTAAGACTTGTCAAAGTCACCAGACATCAAATAGCCAGAGGGTATCGTTTCATGAATGAAATGAAGAATAGAAATGGGAAGCCTAGTGATATATCCCAGCTGCTGCAAAGTGGAAAAAGTGCTTGGCTCCAGTTTGGAAAACCCATTATTCTAACCAACTGACGGTGGACGTCTGAGGTCATGTCATGCACTCTGGCTACTGGATAGAAAAACAAGCTGCCTCTGCACAGAACTATTTGGTTACCAGAACTGGTGTGAATGAGAATAATTAGATTTACCTCCCTTATTTGATGATATCCGTACCTTAGATGAGATACAAGTAATACAATTGATAAGGACAATGCATTCATGTAACATATCCAATTTCTGTAGTGATTCTGAGTGACAGGATTTTGTGAACAGTACGATGCATCATTTCTACCTAGCAATGCTAACCAGATGATGAATTTTCCAGGGGATGCTATTATTGCTAACAAGCAGATGAAGTAGCAGTAATCACATCCTAAATTCTTATGTGCGGGCAAAGGACAAGCCAGTTTTTAAAATGTGAAGGGAACAGGAGAGGGAAGTTCAGAAAGCTGTTAGATTGAAGAAG